TTTGGCGTTAATCCCGTGCAGACGACGCATTCCCAAACGGATCACAAATACTGCATTTAAGCAAGAGTAGAGAGCTTACGTGTTACTGTGAATAATGCAAATCAACAATACTAATGGTTCAGAGCGGTTTGACGACCTTTCCCTGAAGTATCAAAATCAAGAATGAATCCTTACCCACGTGCATGGAGGAATTACATGGTCAATGCAGTTTCAGGTGTGCTGTGGCGTTAGATCTTGTTCCCAAACCATCCTGTCATTGGCAGACATGTTTGTTGATTTTTCTTCTGACCGATCTTAACATTTATATTTCATGATCCGCTACTATTTTGGGAGAGTATATATGCATGCACATCAGCATCAATTAATTACCTACGCCAAGCACGTCAGTACCAATTTACAATAATAGATATCTATCCAATGCAATAACAAGGGATAAATCTAATTTGTGTAGTGGGAACTTCAGTTTGTAATAACACAGCTTTCTTTTGATTTGGATTCAGTAATTAATCCCCATGTTTGACGAAAGATAATTGCATGTCTGGAAGAACTAGGAATCAACCATTTCCGGACGGAAGGCCAGAAAATTGGCCCATTCCGTGAACAACCTACTTTGCTGAGTGCATTGTTGATTAAAGGTCATCACTGCGGCATAATTATTGGAAACTCGCAATTTACACATTGTTTCATCTTTAACCATTTGGACATCTCTAACTGGTTCAGTGCCATCAGTAGTAGCGGACATAACCTATGCGTGAAGCGCATTAATTCACAATTCAGCGGACACACCTAACTTCACGGACAGAAAGAATCATTTTTGTAAAGTGTATTTATTTGCCAATAATCATAAAACTAAAAGAAATAGAAATCGTCAAAGCCAGATCTAGAGAATATTCCATAGGGAGTAAAAGGCAACATAACGATGAAAAGTTTGTAAATAGATAACTAAAAATCAGTGATGACACCATGTGCTCGCGAATAGGGTGAGCATGCCATTGCCTACCAGAAGCACCGGTGAGGTTTGTTTTTCACTGCACAGCTCCAAATGTCGATTTCTCGGAGTCCTTTAACGCCATACTGAAAGTTAATCTGTTTCAAATATGACGTGATGCAGTCGAGTATCAAGGAAGGAAAAATCAAATCGTCAAAGATGCGACGTGATATACCATACAAGAAGTGAATTAATTCCCAGTTTGCAACAGATCGCGTATTACTCTCTGCAAAAGTGAATTGGAAAAGCTTGGCAACCGTTCTTCAGTTCACTTCCACTGATGTAGCCACCTGGGCTAACAGAAACTTAAGTTAAATACTTATGCTGGGCGATAGTAGGTTTCTCCTATATAGTAAAGTCTGAATTGGCGCGGTAGTTAATAAGTGCGCCTACAGCAATTGAACGCTCAATACCCACCCTATCATTTCAAACTGAACGTTAGTTTAAAGTAAATATGTTTTGAAAATACCTATCTTAGCTAAGTTTGAAAACTCCGAATACAGACCAATGGACTCCTTAATGTTCACACAAAATACAGTAATTAATTGAGGTCCTCAAAATGAAATCCTGCTAAATTAAACTAAATCAATATCTATGTATGTATTTGTAACTATAAGCGACAAAACCCTTTCCATATTCATAAGAAATCTCGATTGTGTCCAGCGCTCCGAAATTCGCTGTGCAGAGTTGCGTCCCTTATGCTTGCCAGTATCCTATGATCACACTTAAAAAGACTCGACTATTCTTATGATATGAATATATGAGGTAATAAAGATGCTGAGAAGGCGGGTGGTGCACTTGTGCCCAGTCTCTTTGTCTTTATGGACAATAAAATATGTTTAATATAAAGATGCTGACAGATTACTTCTCGCAGGGAACAAAATAGTACGCTCGGTCAATTAGAATGAAACACGATTACTACAACACACAACGACATTACAAGTTAGATGAGTATCCACACAATACGCTTGTGCTACAACTTATGTTTCTGGAAACGTTTACAGTTGTTGTAACTTCGCGTATGCACTCTAGTACAGTACAGGACAAAAACATCTCCATAATCATACAAAATCTCCACCAAAAGACTTCACAGAACGATTCCGACTCTTTCATAAGCATTAATTTTTTTTATCACTATCAATTATTGATTATTCCTGATGTTCGCGAGAAGGAGAGCGTATCTTGTGCCATCGGCTGCACCCGTCATAACACTTGCAAAGGCGAGTCAAATGTTCACCCTAAAAACACGAGGACACGTGGTATAAGTCAAAATAGAAAATTTATGAATCGGACATTAAGTTTGTCACTGATGCGACAAGTTTAGAAATGTCCTCTCCATGTCTACTATAAAACGCTTTGAAAGCGTTGCTAAGCACCTAAATGTTGTAACCTTGATCAAACAACTTTTGACGCTCTTTGAAATTTTAGTAGGAAAAGCATGCTCGATTATAGATCAAAAGTTGTGAAATGTAAACACCAAAGAATGGAGCTGCTTGAATAGTGCTCGACATAAAGGGAAAGTTGAAAGTCTTGTGGAGTTTTATGTAACTCTGAATTTATGCATAGATCTAAATATGAAACAAATGAGGTTATTTCTACTGTTTTCTTTTATTTCTAGTTCAGGCGGGTAAATCAGTGTAAGGGAATTGGCTTTTTGATCTTTATTGATCGATATCAGATCATCGCTATGTGAAGTTTAAATTAAAAATGTCCTCCACATGTCTAACATAAAACGATATGAAAGCTTTACTAAGGCCTTGAATGTTGTGATCAAGAGTCGTATGACGCTGTTTGAAATCTTCGTATTTTGATACATAATTACCTTGAGAGATGATATTTCAATGTATCATTTTCCGAAATGATAACAAAGCACTCGTCTGGGTTTTTGGGGGGATTGAGGGTTTCATCTGACCCTCACAGAGGCATGATGTAATAAGGAGCTGATTGTGACAGCGGATGTTGCCACGGGGCGAATGTGTCTTTGAATAGAGTCTGGATAATTGTCAGTGGGGAAAGAGATGCTATGTAGTTGCTGGGAAGGATGCGGTGAACTTGAACGATGTTTGAACTGGTGTAATCATGGCCTGGTACTTGTGTGTCATTGGAGGAATAACAGTCTGCGAGAGAGCCGCGTGTACTAAAGCCAGGGAATTGTGTCATATATCAGAGCCTTGTTCATGTAATAGGTGGGGGTAGGGGTGAGGGGTGAGGGGTGAGGGGTGAGGGGTGTGGGGTTGGGGGAAGGGTGTGTGTGTGTGTGTGTGTGTGTGTGTGTGTGTGTGTGTGTGTGTGTGTGTGTGTGTGTGTGTGTTGAGGATTGTTGATAACTTTCATCACTGCTTCTTAACTTTTACCTGTGCACGGAGCTGGATAGGTACATATTTTTCAAAACACATTTTGTCGGACATTCAATTATGTGGAAGCTTCAGTGGCTGAATGGGTTACGTGCCTCACTCCGGGAGTGTGGCTTCGAATCTCATCTTCCCGAGCCAAGGGAGTTGACTGACTATAAAAGTTCAGTGGCCGAACTGGGCTTGTATTTATGGAGTTATATTTTGGCTAGACTCACGAGTCTATGCATAGTCCAATCAAAATCACGTAACGAAATCGACACCCGCTTCGTTAACTGCCATGTAGATTTCGGTCGATTGCAGGATTTGTTAAGCATGTGCACCGCCAACTCGGCGTCAACAGATATTTCCCAAAGCGTCTTCGCGCAAAGGGATACAGAACAAAATAGTCCCAAATCGACATTCTCTTTGTAGTGAGTGAGTGTGGTTTTACGTGGTTTTTAGCAAAAGTTCAGCCATATCACGGCGGGGGACACCGTAAAAGGGCTTTACTCAATGTACCCAGGTGGGGAATCGAACTCGGGTCTTCGGCGTGGTGAGTGAATGTTTTGACCACAAGGCTACCCTACCGCTCTAGCTCTAGAAGAAAGGGTACAGTCAATTCCAAGTGTACAATAATGAAATATGGGTTAAAGTTCAATCTAATCAGGTCAACCGACTGACCATTTGTGAAAAATAATGGGTTGTTTAAACCATTCATTTTTAAGTGTGTGTAAGAGTATTGTTGACAGTCCTGTCATATTCCTTAATAATGCATAATGAAATAAGTATTACTAACATATTCTTGTACAGATCTATACAGTCATGTAAATTACACCTTGCGAGTGGACTTCAGAGAGGTGATTCAAGTTGGCTGCAGCGGTTTGGATAATCAAAACTAAGATGTCGACCATGTTGGAGGATATATGTTTTGAAAAAACCCCACAACACTCTATATACGTTGCTATATCAAATTAATATTCATGAATAACTAATTCTAAGCTATTAACTTTGATGACATCCAATAAGCACCCCAAGTTACGCGCATGCGTTAACAAACCGGTCTGAGGTGAGGTGAGACGAGGTGAGGTGAGGTGAGACGAGGTGAGGTGAGGTGAGGTGAAAGGGGGTTTAACATCGCGTCCAAGATTATTGCATTAATATTGCGACGTGCATGCACGTGTGTTTATGTGGCTGCTTGTACTAGTCCGTAATGCCACAGTCAACTCGAAAGATTAACCGGTCTCTATATTATTATTTGAAACAGATTTCCTTGAGCGTAAAACTAGAGGTGAATGGATCACTGAAAATCAGTGATGGCAGCAGATGTTCGCGAAAAGGATACGCCTGTCCTACCCTATCGGTATCATCCGCCATTCACACAATTTGCATATAAAATCAAGTGTTTGTTTGTTGCATGGCGTCTCGCAAAGTTACTCCTGACATGCGACAACGGCCTGTTAAAAAATCAAGTAAAGTAGTTACTGATAAATTTCCACGTTTAAAGTGGATTCGAATAAAATGTACCCTTCAGTTGTCAATGTACCCAAGATTGAGAGTGGGGCCTTGTAACATAAGCCTATATGTTGTATAATCAGAGCTTTGTGAGTTGAATGCTCAAACAAATGCATCCACAATTTGAGTTTGGTGTAATAACATAATGAAATGTTTCTTTCTTCCAGTACGGCCAGATTCATTGTGTGGTTCGAGAATTGCTGCAGGAGAAATTTAGCACAGAAATATGGCAGAAAGTTCTGTAAGTACAAAGTGTTAAGCTCTTTATTTGCACTTTTTGATTTACCATCTGGCAGCGTAAAGCATATAGTTCATGCCCTGGACTAAAAATTAGTTGCTTGATGATTTTGTGTGTGTTATGTATCTTCTGATTTTCGGACAGGTGCCTTCAGACAGGTAAAAAATATACTCTCCAGGGAGATGAGAATGCACATTTAATGCACACGAATCCCTTGATCCGGTAAAACATGTCATGTACATTGAGCACCCTTTCTGTGTTGAGTGCATGATAGTGATGATGATGATTATGATGACAATAATGGTGATGAATATGTCAGAAGTATCATCATTATCATCATGATCAGTATCACCGTATCACCTTGTGAAGCATGACAAGACTCATGATGGAAACAAGGCATTCACAGTTTTCTAAAACGAGCCAAGGATGTGATGACATAATCTCAAAGTCGGTGTTGATTTTGTTGATGGTTCTGTACTGCTGGACGGTACAGAAATGAGTGTCAACCAAGCCAAGTGCCATATCAAATCGGCCTAGACACAGTTTTTCAAGGAGAGGTTTTCTGAACGACCACTGCATCGAGTTTATGTGCAGTGCGTTAAAAAGTTCCGCAATCCTGCAGAGTCCTTCGCTTGGATGAAGTCGTCTGGCCTGAAAAATGAAACAGAAGGCTTTCTGTTTGCTGCTCAGGACAAGTCACTTACAACTCGAAACCGCCAATGAGATTGTCCAACACATTGTGAGTGGATACCCAGCTTTGGCACAGACACAGTGCCTTAAGCGACATGATGGGGTGGCTCGATCATTTTATTACCTTCTTCGTCATGCTTGTTGTTTTGACACAGAGGTCCATCCATTGTACGACCCGGAATATGCAGAGGGCGTTATGGAAAATGATAAATACAAAATCTTTTGGAATAGGCCCGTATACAGCCTCAGACATATTCAGGCCAACAAACCTGATCTTGTCCTTTTGGATAAATCCAATGAAATCATTTATATCATTGAATTTTCTGTCCCTTTTGACAGTAATATGATTGACAAGATTCAGGGAAAACATGGCAAATATGCAGACCTCGCTTTCGAAGTGTCACGCTTGCATCCCAAGTACCAAGTTGTCCGACTCCCAATTGTTCACGGTGCCTTAGGTTTCGTACCTCCCAATCTGTTGACTGACATCGGGAGAGCTACCAGGAATACAGCCCTCTGACAATCTGGGTAATGCAGAAAGCTGCAGTGTTCACATTCTCCGAAAAGTTCTGGGTAGGTTTGACTAGGTAGCGCTTCCTGGGAGAAGTCCCATTCGCTGTCTGGGCTGCGTGTAGAGGGGGGCAAGGGCCCGGAGCTGATGATGGGCCTAACCAGCCTGACTGTGCCAGGATCACCCAAGCCCTCTTTCCTGCATTATATATTCTAATATGTAAAAAAAAAATAAAAAAATAAAATAATAATAATAATAATAATGGCACGATGATTTATTGCTGCATAATAGCAACTCAACATAAGTGTGAACAATGTATGTTGAATGACTGTTGACTGATGATGGTATTTTCAAGTATTCCATTATTTACAAATACATTGTATCATGTATCAATATCACTTGAAATCAGTTCTCAGCAGCTGGATTCGCAAACTGCCGCGGTAGTGCACGAGAATATGTATCTGTCTTGCTCATCTAAGAAAAGTTAATCAAAAGGTTAGTAACAGCGTAATGTATAAAAGACAAGCTATAGACTAGCGATTAACGTCAACGCTGTAACGTCAACACGACACAAAGTATATATCATTTGACATATTTCTTTAAGATGTATTGAATATGGATGCTTCAGAAGGCTACGCCGTCACAGAGGCTAGCCATGCGGCCAATAATCCATTAGCTTTCACCGTCTTATCTCGTATTAATCACTCACTATCAGACGAACACGCTTTTGATATTGACCGAGAAGCAAGAATTACACATGATGGTACGCCAGAAGCAGCCCTTAAAAGAAACCACTTGACTCCGGAAGCACTAATAGATTATTCATCGTTTATCTTCTTCTTGTTCTGTGTATATCTATAAATCTTGCACAAATCATGTTACATGGAATAAAAGAGCGATGGAGCGTTCTTGTAAACCTCATTAGGTCAGCGAAGGAAAAAGCATGTTGTTACAGGCGTGAAATTGTCTACTTTCTTTGAATACGATATAACGGTAATTTGCTGCCCCAATATTGACTGCTTATGGCAAAAGGGCCATTCGTGTTGGCACTTTGGCTGTTTGAAACCACACTGTCCATTTGTTCGTGTCATTGACTGTTCACGACATTCCAATTGAGCCGTAATATGGCAGCATAGTGTCAATTTCTGTGATGGTCAGTGACTCGTTGTTCCTGATCATCCACTGCTCTCAATGAAGTCAACTACCGCGGTACTGATGTATATACCTGGTGCATCACTTCAGTCACCTTGGACAGGGGTCATAAAGGAGCCACACAACAGGGGGAAGTAAACACTCATTGGCTTATTTGTTACTTCCATTATCCCGCACGTCCTTGTTTCCTGTAAACATTTCTACATATGACCACATGTTTTCCCCGATGGTCGCAAGTACTGATTCATATCGTATGATGCAAACAAGCGGAGGAATCAATTAAAGGGGTAGTCGAACTACTACTTCGTAGAAACACTTAAACATGCCATTTGAATTATGTATTCTGTATAAGAGCTGCTCACTTTATAAACAAAACCAAAAGCGTTTCGTTTTTTATGGAAATATTAGTAGGCATGTTTCGAGGCGCATGGGTGTAGAGTCGTTATGGTCGCATTGTTTCATTTTCTATACACTCAGTAGTTTCGCTGTTTTACGTGCATATCCTCAAGGAGCTATTTTCAAACGCCACTGTTTCAAGTATAGAATTTAAAATTTAAAAAGTCACTCCAAGCTCAGGTTCCATACGTTCAAACGAATGATAAAAGTAGTCGAATTACCACTTCTTTGCAAAAACCCAGGTACAGAATTACTTAGATTTGAACAGATGTGACCTGAGCTTTAAATTGCGTTCTTTATTCTACCTTGAAACAATGGCTTTTCAAAATCGGCCCCTGATTTAATTCTCGAGCACCTAAAACAAAGAATACAATCGACATTTGTAAAAACATCATGCGATCACGACAAAACATGAATGGCATCCTTTGGACAAGCGCCAAACCAAAAAATACATATCTTGAGTAACGGCTGTGCATACATACTCATCGAAAAAGCTATCCGCAACTAACTCATATTTCCATGTAAACGAGCCAGTTTTAACAGTGTGTTTCCAGACGCATTTGCTTAAGTGTTCCATGGAAGTAGTAGTTCGACTACACGTTTTACTGATTCCTCTGCTTGTTTGAATCATACGATATGAATCAGTACTTGCGACCATCGGGGAAACATGTGGTCATATGTAGAAATGTTTACAAGAAACAAGGTCGTGTAGGATAATGGAAACAATAAACATGCTGATGATTGTTTACTTTTTCCCCTATTGTGTGGCCCCTTTATGAGGTGACTAAAGTGATGCACAAGGTATATATCAGTCATAATATTATCAATTCTCATTTTCACAAAGGGTAGTTATTTCAGCGGCATGTCTGCCCTGAAATTAGGCACCCCACACTTCTTAGCCACTTTTACGAACCCTATTGTTTGTGGCTGTACATGGTCCTGTGAGCGCCTCCGTGGTCTAGTGGTAGAGCGTTCGCCCGCGGAGTGGCAGGTCCTGATTTTGATCCCATGCCTCGTCATACCAAACACGTTAAAAGATGGTACTTGTTGTTACCCTGTCTGCGCTTGGCATTAAGGGGCTAAAACAAGGACCGGTCGGCTCGGAGTCAGTATGTTGTGTGGGGTATCATGTTAAACTGCGGCATGGTATATCAGTGTGCTAGCACTATAAAATCGGCATTAGTCCGAGCTAGTACAAGCAGCCACACACACATGTGCATGCACGTTGCTATATAGGTGCAATAATCTTGGACGCGACGTTAAACCCAATTTCACCTCACCTTACATGGTCCTGTGCACAGTGATTTAGTGTTCAAATGTTTTCTTCAGCAAATTTCCGAGAGTTGTGTTGAAGGAACAACATAAATATACACCACAGAAAAGCCTATCTTGATCACCCGCTGAAACAGAATCAGTTTGACGCAAAAGACAAAACAGTGGTGAAGACCACATGAATGGACCACCGAACACCAGTGACAAGGCGCCAACACAGAATATGGCAACATCCATTCTGAAAATCAAGTGTTATATCACATGAGTGAATACGATTATATATCAACCCATATTTGTTCCAGGGAGGAGTCGGGTCTTGATGAACACGATCATTTCTTAGTCTTCTATCGCTACGAAGACAAGCTCACCTTCCAACTCATCGGGGCAGTGTCTACGGTTTTAGGTGAGACTCCAATAGAAGGCTTGACCCACATAATGCGCCATTAGCGTAAACATCCCGACCATGGCAAGACCTCTTGCATAAATGAACAGGGTCATCAAGGAACCAGACCGGTTATGTCTTATTACATAGACATAATTAAATTATGACCTACCAGCTTCGTGAGGTTCCTTGAACACAAATCAATGTGAATATTTTGTAGTTTCTTGATGATCCATATACACAAACCAATGAAATGGATGATTAAATATTTATGTTACAGATCTTACAGCTTCGCAATTTTACATAAACACAAACGGATGTGATGAAATATTAATTTATGTTAATAATCAGTAGCTTCTTGATGAGATGGATTTGGAAATATTCATGTTATATAAATCAGGGTGATGAATAATCAAATACATATAGGTTCGTACCAGCTTCGCGATGAGACACCTACAGAGGCAGTTATTTGAGTGAGTTGGGTTTAACGCAGCTCTGAACAGTATTTCAGTTATTTCACGGTGTGTCAGCTTAATATGGTTTGTTTGTGGTGTAACGCCGCAGTCATCATTATTCCAGCTATATGACCGCTGTCAGTAAATAATCGAGTCTGGACCGGACAATAAGTGATTGACATCATGAGCACGAACCTACGCAATTGAGATACGATGACATGCATCAACCAAGACAGCGAGCCTGATTGGTTGCTGAGGACGAATTCTAACGCGGATCTTTACGGGTCGCTTAATGTGGTAGGAAATTTCAAAATGCAGGTCTTAGACGCTTACCATTTTTGTGAACCCCCAAGCACGAGTGTGGTGCTGATCGATCTAAAACTTGGGCTAATCTTGGATTCGAACCGACTATCAAAGGTTTTTGGCACGACAAAGGGACACAATTCTGCGGCTTAAGCAAAAAGGCCAGTCATGCTCCCAGACAGTAGCTTGCATTTCATCAACCCGATATGTGAATATATAGTTTAAGACAATGTTCCTGGTACGTGGTCTTGACAAGGTATCCCACAATGGTCGTATATCCGCATTCCGATCATCTCGAGTAATGTATAACTCGATATATCGTTGATGATACCTCAGGTTTCGAGTGACCAACGTCCATAGATTATTTCAGTCTGTCATTTGGACCTCGATATGTTTACATGTTCATCAGTATTTTGTCATTCAAAACGAGTTTATAAACGCCCCGAAGTTGTCCTAAAGTTGCTAGTGATATCTTTAAGTGGCATTTTGTAACTGTAACAATGAAGACAGGAATGATTCATGGATTTCAATTTCCAATCCAGTCCAATTACCAGTACCGTTGTTAAGAATGAGTGTTTGTTTTTACACAGCTTTTTGCAATATTCCAGCAACATCATGGCAAAGAACACCGCAAAATGGTACCCGTGTGGGGAATAGAACCCGGGCATTAACGCCTTAACCTCGAGCTGAACCACAAGACTACCCCACCGCCCCTTTATCTATAGATCTAGAATCTCAGTGATATAGGTACCTGCAATTGAAATGAAATGTAGAAACAGACAAAGTGGAGTATACTCAACGCCAAAAAAACCCCGCAAAACATAAAAACATAATTATAGAGAAGTATGCACGTTAAGAAGAGATGTTCAAATGTGTACCAGTTAATGACAAAACTAACAATCGGTGAAGTGTTACCACAGAGTGTCTTTACTCTTGTCACGATATGATGCACGTAATTTCCAAACTTTGCACTCTAATCCTGAAAGAGACAAATGGTGCAGTCAGAATCAGTGACGTCACATGAGCATCGGGTCACAATACATACCAGTATGTTCGTTTGTGCATCGAACCAATCTAATATCTCTTGCATAAGAGTAAGTCTTCATATATTAACCTACATGTATAGTATTCGCGTTTATTTTGGCGGAGGGTATAATTGCAGTTCCATGTCTATTGTTGATAATGGGAGTTCTGTCTTCTAAGGCGCCACGATTCGCTGTGCAGAGCTGCGTTACGTTGGCACGCCAGAAACCTATGATTGTGGGTTCGAATCCCGGTTCGCCCGATTGTTTCAAGGTTTGCCAGCACCATATCCGTGCTCGTGGGTTTCACCGAAATGGTAAATGTCTAAGACCCGCATCAGACACACTATGATATTACTGGGATACTGTTCAAAGCAGCGTTAAACCCAACTCATTCACTCATTGTTTATAATGCGTTCTAATATATTTTCAATGAGCCCCCTTTTGATTCTATCATCCTTTTATCCTTCACATCTTCCCGTTCAAACAAAGCACTCATTGTCATTGTTTTGCACACAATTACACCGCCATACATCGACATTGACCCCCATACATCAACCACGATTCCTGTCACACAGACATCGCGGAGAAATGCATAAGGATCGATTTACACAAGACTCTCTCCCAAAAGAAAGGACGGGACTGTGACATGACTTATAATAGGGAACAGGGAAAGATGTCAGTGTCCGATATATACATAGTCATTATCTTGGTGGGACTCTTCGCCCCGTGGGCTGATTGGTATGGGATATAGAGACCCGTGTATTAACTAATGCATCTTTGTAGTGCTCTGGTGGAGTAGGGCTTGCACACTTGATCCAATGTCGCTCTGACCCTTGGGGGAAGCATGCTCCTGAATAATAATGACACGGATTGATAAAGACAATATAGACGCCATCAACCACGTTCCGTCTCTGTTGATTAAACGTCGACTTATATATACGTTGCCTGCTTCAGTAAATATTCATAATCCGGCTTGTGTATTCATAAGATAAGCTGGCTTGTTAATTTTCTTGGGTTAAATGGAGCAAATGTTTGAGATATATCAGTATGCATTGATTGACGTAGTTAGAGTATATGTGCACAGTCGTGGATAATGGAACGAGGATATTAGTATTTGCACCGCCATCAAAAACTGGCCAAAGTCAACTGTTAGTCCTGATTGCTGTAGGTGTAGTTGGGGTACAGCCTTATGCCAATGTCGTACCATTGGCCGAAAGTCCTGCTTTCTGTACTCGAGTTAGAACATGTCACCGTATATGAACCAGTTAGCTGTGTAAATGTACTTTTCTAACCAGTTGAACATCCATCTCGAATAGACCGCCTCCGTGGTCTAGTGGTAGAGCGTCAGCCCGGAGAGCGTTAGGTCCGGGGTTTGATCCCCGGCCGCATCATACCAAAAGACGTTAAAAGATGGTACTTGTTGTTACCCTGTCTGGCGCTTGGCATTAAGGGGCTAAAACAAGGACTGGTCGGCTCGGAGTCAGTATACTGTGTCTGAGTGGGGTATTCATGTTAAACTGCGGCAGGTATCTCAGTGAAGTAGCACCATAAATCGGCATCAGTCCGAAATAGTACAAGCAGCCACACAAACACATACACGTACATGCACGTCGCTTTATAAGTGCAATAATCTTGGACGCGACGTTAAACACAATTTCACCTCCTCTCACCTCCATCTCGAATATGTGGTCAAACTATTACACAATATTAAACTATGCTTGATCAGTCGTATCCTAATATGATTTCATCTATGATCAAACGCGTGTTCGAACTAATGCCCTGAAAAACAACGTTACCGTTATTATAGCTAAAATGGATGGATTTTGTTATCAAATACAAAGAACCAACAATATCGGTTTTGAAACATTTACTGCAATCAACACGAATGTCACTGACCCACTTTTACAAATATGGATACGTCATAGAATAAACCAGATAACGTCACTATTGAACGTGACGTCACCTATTCCTATCCTATGACGTCACCGTCAACAACGGGCGAGATAATGGCCCGTCATCAAGCAATATGAGGGCATTATCAAGTTAGAGTTGCCCGCTCATTTCTAATAACAAGCGGGCGGTTTAATGAATATTAAAAATATTAAATAATTCTATCCATTTTAGCTATAATACACAATATTAAACTATGCTTGATCAAACGTGTGCTCGAACTGATGCCGTCATATAGCTGGAATATTGCTGACTGCGGAGTTAAACAACAAACAAACAAACAAACAGACAAACAAACTGATGCCTTATATGTACAGTCGCCAATAAAACAAACACTGTTTGAAAAAAAGATGAACACATACAAGGATAGATAGGCTTACTGATGAAAGGGGCGGATTGGTTAACACTTTAAGGAATTAACTGTTATTTCTATTTTCTTAATGTCTGTTCATTTTTTTTATTCTTGCTAAAAGGAAAAAGCTACTTTTGTAATTGTTTTTACTGCAAAGCTGATTAACCAGTTTTGTATAAGGTGCACCAGTCTTGTTTTCTGTAAAAGATCGGCTTTGGAAAACAAACAAGAGATCATTATTTTTAACATTATCATCAGCCCCTTGTATTCACAATATATTCTCTTACGTACTCTGGACCCGTTGCATACAGCAATCTTAGCACTGTAGTGCATATAGTAGTAGTAGTAGTAGTAGTAGTAGTAGTAGTAGTAGTAGTAGTAGTAGTAGTAGTAGTAGTAGTAGTAGTAGTAGTAGCAGCAGCAGCAGCAGCAGTGTAATGGCTTTGCGCAGAAACTTGGACCTGGAGAAATTCATACCAACATGACTTCCTCTGTCTGTCAGATCTGTCTTTGGAGGCGGTGTTGGAGGTGTTTGGCGACTACTTCGTCATCTACTGCCTTCGTCATGGCTACGACAAGATGTTGAAGACACTGGGAGGGGACATGAAAAGCTTCATCCAGAACCTTGACTCACTCCATTCCCTACTGGCTCTCAGCTACAAGAACATAGAAGCACCATCCTTTAGGTGAGTAGGTCTTTGGCTGCTGCACTTCGGGGTTTAAAATATAACATATATCAAAGCAGTAGCTGGTTGGCAGATATCGACATGTGAAACATCATCATAAATCATCTTTGCCAGGTACTTGCTCACTAAGTACCGCAGTTGCTTTTAGGTTAAATAAACTTCATACAGATTCTTTAAACGTTGGTAAGTATCTAATACATCATTCCTCAAAGCTCGATAATCATCTAATACAGCGTTCCTCAAATGTTGGCAAGTATCTATATCTACGAATTGACCATCAGAATTGGCGAAAAGTATTTTTCATTCATACGGAGACGTATATTTGACCAAAGGTCTCCACGTTGAGGCTTAAAAGGTCAAGTAACTAATATTGTGATAAAAATAACGCACCCATTAATAGAAGAAATAATGTCATTTGAAAATATTCCATTCAATTCCCACGCTCAAATAATTAACACACAAGTGACAACAATGAGTATGTTTATCTTAAATATCAACTTTAAACATATTTTGCTATATAGTTCATACCATTGAACGCATTGGTATATGTCAAACACATTCCTAAAAGTCTTTAAAGAGGGGCTATTGGTGTCATGGCTTAAAATGTGACATAACCTCAGGTTAATTACAGTAATCATAAACAGATGCACATCATACATTTAGACGAGGTGACAAAGAGGTGTTTCGAATTCGTGAATCTTACATTTGCTAGGACTGCATGTGACTAGGTATTTTCTGTTGATGAAAAGTGACAATATTGGCCACTGTGCTGTTAAGGGACCATTACACCAAACGCCGCTCTGCGCTCCTTCTGCGTCCTAAAATTTGACTAGAGCGCAGTGGGGTCGCCATACTCAAGAAAACTCTCTTTTGGTGTAATCGCTCCTACGACCGTTCTGCCTTCCTTCTGCGACTAAATATGTTACTTTTGTCAATGTCACTGCGTTCCCTGAACGACCTAGGCGTTCACTGTGCGATATCTCTGCGCTCCCTCTGCGTCTCCTCTGCGTTCCCTCTGCCTCCGTTCTTCCTCCCTTGAGCGACTTACATCGACGACGATCTCACTGCGACTGTTTAAAGCAGGTTCAAAACTTTTCAGCGACAGTGGGGCTCTTGGCGATGGCTGAGCGTTCCCTCTGCCTCCCTTGTGCGCTCTACGCGACCGTTCTGCGACACCTCTGCCTTCAACGCCGACCTGGCAAAACTTAAGAACGCAGAACGGTCGCAGAAAGGTCGCCGTCCGGTGTAATGGGGGTATAACCAAGTATGACACCAAGTATGACCTGGTGTTAACATTAGAGGATGATGTTTCTTCCCTTGTCAGTGTTAAGAGGTGGACAGCGAATATCAAGAGGGGAAGAGGAAGCTTCGAAGATCATCACAGATTTCGAAGACCTTCAGTTGCCACCACGAAGGAAAAGGTTGATGAAATTGATATGATTATGGATGATCGACGACTCACCACATGCCACATGGCTAATATAATAGGCATCTCTCATGAACATGAGAGAGTTGAGAAATGAACTCGGCATGACGAATGTTTCAGCACGCTGGGTCCCATGCCTTCTGAGTTCTGATGCTCCGGTTTATCAAACCAGCTGGGTTTGTTGAACAATGTGTGACTTTGTACTCATTAAACATCCTACGTATTCACTAGATTTGGCTCCCTGAAATTTTCACCTGTTCCCAAAACTTGAAGAAAGAACTGGCTGACAGGCAAATGATGATGACGTCATGATCATTTTTGTTGTGGTGGGAGGACCACATGGTACACCAGTGGGATCTAGACACTCCAGCTTCGTTGACAAAAGTGTTTGGACCTCGGAAGGGGTTAATAATAAGAAAATCAATCAACTCAGTCCATCAAAGTAGGCTAACAATCTGCCATTTCTTGTAGTAACACTTGTGTACTTAGATATCCCTTGTGTATTCAATGCGCTACACATTTTCATATCATTGATTTCAGATGTGAATCTCACCCTGATGGCTCTCTCATGTTGCATTATTATACAATACGACCTGGACTCTACCCCATTGTTATAGGTAAGTGGTTCTTATGTAGGATGAAATAAATATCTGATCCATTGCTTCCTTTTAATCCACCAGTTTTTTCCTTGGTCTAGCATTGTATACAACCACTGATGGCTGAAGTGTTATTGTAAATCCTGCACGAAACAGAGGGACAGTAAGTCCCCATAGTCCCCAATAACGTGGTCTAACTGTGGTTGTTGGTGGTCTATAATTGGATTTTAATAGTAATAACTAAAGGTGTTGACATAGTATGTGTAACATAGTAACTTCGAATTTGTTATATATTCAATACATGATATTTACTCACTTACTCTAAACCAAGTTCCACTGATATGCTTAATCGTATTGATTACTTTAATAGGATTTACAGCATCCAAGATACAGATTTAAGCAAATGACAAGCGTGTGTTCGTCATTGTATAAGCTCATTTTTCCGGATAGATTCCAGTGTACAGTGTACACTTCGTTCATCTTAAGCAGGTAAAAATAACCCGAAACAACAACAATTCTCTAATTTGGGATGCCACAATGCCAGATAAAAAGAAATAAGCCTGTTGGCAAAAAATGCAAGTATGGAACCCCCCCCCCCCCCCCCAAAAAAAAAAAATAAAATAAAATAAATAAAATAAAAAAAAAAAAATAAAAAAAAATTGTACAGAGCAAAGAACCCATGTGAGCATTTGCAAATGTGAGTGGGCACATTGAGAATCCTTGTTGATTATGTACACAGATGCGCTCTTACATTGAGATAATTATCATGCTCACCTATCTCATCTCGCTGGAGCTTGGCTCAGCATTTACGTGAAGGATACTGATTAGCAAGATCGGAATACCTCCGTGTATTTGTCCAGCTACGTCCCTCGGGACATCTTGAAAGTTCATCTCGAACATTTCAGTAGTTTGCCACACAGTGACGGGTTACCATCGTAACAACAGGCAGTACAACCATTCAACGGCTCTTTGATTTCCAACCGATTGCCTTCTTTAGGTCTCAATGCAACGAGTGATCAAGCTTATCAATCTGACTATCTTTGTATAAACACATATCGACCCTCAAATAATGAACCTGTATTGTCTTTAAAATCGACCAATAAAGACAAAGCTCAGCGATGCCGTCGTAAATAAGGATAAAGTAAATATAAACTTAACAAACACCGACGAAGCTGCATCTGTTAAACCTAATCATGCTTATTTCTGGTGAGGACGAGCCCCACGGCCAGTTTATATGATCATGGTTGAAGTCATGTATTTAGTAGTGATGACTCTGCACTAAATGGATAATGTGTGGTTCAATAGTTGATCGGGTGGTTAGGCTCGGTCGATAAATAGAGATTATTATACGAACATGTGTGTCATACTGATTTTACAAAACGAGTGTTAGAATTCTTCTATTCCCCGTGCGAGAGCGAGGCCAATGCATGGATTCTAACAAGAGCTTCGTAAAATCAATATGACACAGATACGAGTGTAATTATAATATTTTCTTTAGTACTCATTATTTCATACTCCGTTTGAGCTCCCCTTTAGAAAAATGATCACGATATGCGTGTTTGAAAGCAACAATTGTCTAATGACGTCAACAATCTCCAGCTATGACGTCGTTTCTAGTGTGACGTCATTCCTTACGTCACAATAAGATTCGAATGACGTCGACAATGCCGTCCGGTTGACGAAAAAATTACACTGGTAAGCGTGAGTGAGTGAGTGAGTTGGGTCTAACGCCGCTTTTACCAGTATTCCAGTTATATCACGGCGTGTCAGCTTAATGTGGGAGGAAAGACCGAAGTAATGCAGGTCTCAGACGTTTACCACTTCGGTGAAAGCCACGAGCAAGGGTATTGTGCTGACAAACCTAGAAACATAATCGGGGCGAACCGGGATTCGAACCCACAATCATAGGTTTCAAGCCTGCCCAAGGGGCGCAACTCTGCACAACGAATAACGGCGCCTTAGACGACTGGGCCACCTCGTGTCCCCGGTACGCGTGAAAGGATATGTTCATGTACGTTTCTAAAATCAGTTATTTCTAACCGAATCTGTAATAACTTGTCTTATTACCTACGAGGGCAAACATATCGGGGTTAATAAAATTCGCATGTGCCCTAGGTTCATTTCACGTCACGAGTGAATTGTTTCCGTCATCCGGACGGCAATTTCGACCTTATTCGAATCTTATTGTGACGCAAGGTCGGAATGACGTCACACTAGAAAAACCGTCATAGCTGAAGATTGTTGACGTCATTCGTCAAATTGTGGTTGCGCTGCTGTTGCGACTTGTTGTCCTTATTGGTTAACACTAAATTTCGTCTCTGTATGTACATCTTCTTAAGGTAATAAATAGAACATTATATACGTGTTCATGGCATACTATGTTTACGACACTCGTGCCTACATCCTCGTGTCGTAAATGACACGAACATAGTATGACACGAACACACATATAATATCCTCTTTTACCTACCCAGACGGCGTGGATCATGGATCTGAATAATAAACCAGTGGCTTGTCTGGTCCAGATTCGGTTATTTACAAGCCACAGTCATTTAGCATGAAAGTAAACAGTGTTAAATGAACAATAAAAAAAGCTACGTGGTGAACACATATGACTCAAAGCATGATCGGAAGCCGTAGACAACGTCGCTACCTTCAACTTGTCACCATACGTTTGAAACCCCCCCCCAAGTTACCAGCACGAGGGCAGGGAGTTGGATTGTTAATGTACAATTCAGAATATGTATGGCTGCTATTTATTTGTATTCTTGGATGCAGCTATTAGCACACATCTTGCAACACTGAGGATGTCGTTGACCCACCGTGACGTTTCACATAAATGTTTTATTTATTTATTTTAAATTCTAAATTATTTTTGTTTTGGGGGGTGGTTGGGTGGGCTGTTTCATTACAGCGGCCAGTTTGCCTATACAGTGAAAGCTGTGACAGCCGTGCCGAAACTTTAGTTCGGTATAGCCAATGGCCCTTTGGAATCTGTTGAAACAAGGTCACTGTGGGACCGAACATTTCGTCCGGTTGAGGAAGAGGTTCGGCTTAGCGAGGTTTTAGCAGGAGATTCAGAAATAGGAAATAATGATAGGATTCATTGACATGTCAATTGTAGTACATTCCGGACGTACTTGGGTCCAGTATAGACAGCAATCCGGATTAGTTCGGTTTCAACAGATTCCCTAGTATTACTAAAACTGTGACAAATGTCGAGTACAATACGTTGAGAAGGACACCCTTTACAATGTCCTTCCAATTCTCTTTACAATAGCAAAACAGTGATATTAAACACTGAACTTATGAGAGGGTACGGTAACCGGAGTTAGGAGCTCTGACATGTACAGTGCCGTCTCCGGTCCCATTGGTTGTTGGACTGCTTTCAATCACCAAAGGCTTTAGCATACACACTGGTGACCATACTCAAATTTCCTCCAATTACTCGAGTTGGAACAATTTCATTTATTTAGAAGGTCGTACATTGGTGTCTGTTTCAACCGTGCCGGTACCTCTGACCATGATTCACAATGGCGTTAAAGGTAGGCTTGCTTTGCTTGCCGTTTCGCGAACACCCCGTATCATCACTTTACTGCTTTGTGAGTGGATATATTCGTGTATATATGTGTAGTTGTCCATACGTAAGTATCGAGGTTCTTTGTTTCAACTGTAAGTAGGAATACCCCACAGATTTGACGATTTTGATGTGACAAATTATCAGTTGTTTAAGCTGGGTTGTGCGACATGGTTGACATACGCGTAGAGGTGTGTGATGTCTGTGTGTAGAATATTAAATTCCTTTCAGGGGGTGAAAATAATTTGCAAATACAATATTGGTTTCAAAAGCAGACAGTGCTAAATGTTATCCGAAATTTTGTTACGCGTAAAATAACCCTGGAAATTTCCGCACTTTTAATCGTACACCGATAAAGTAATGTGCGATGAAAGTTTTTTATTAGACAGCTTTATTGAAGCTGCAATAGCGGTTAACATGGAAAAACAGTGGACAAAACGAGAGGAGTAATTTCAAAATTGTGATTAATTTCGCACCTGGTGAATCGTCAGGCCTCAATGTTCTATCAATCAAAGGACAAAACACAGTTTTTTAGAATCCCTTCTGCAAATGTGTGCATATATATTTAACAAAAATATTAAACGTTTTCTTCATATCAATATATAATTAAAAGTTTTATTGATAAGATAAAATCGAATGAATTTACCTATTTAATATGAAATTTTAATATTGATAATTACACTTCAAAAGAAATATAACACGTCCCATTTTAATTCTGGAAACCCAAAAGTCCAGAAACTCTACGATCTTTGCCCAGTCTCGGTTAAAGGTATTTACAAAATCAAACATGCTGTTTTCATGGGAACATACCAAGGAAGAAAAAATGAAAACAAAATTGTTCAAAAACCCAATATTTACACTATGTCGCCTATGGGCCTGCCCATGGGCGAAGACTGGCCCATGGGTAAGCCCATGGGCGAGAATATGTTCCTTTACCCAAAACTCATGTTTTTGTATTTATTCAAGTATCATGACACAAAATTTAACTCATTTTAACTTAATTCAACGATTTTATAGCGATATTGAAATATTCTCGCCAATGCATGGGCGAGAATATGTTCCTTTACTCAAAACTCATGTTTTCGTTTCGCAAATACATGCGGGTGTTCTTACCATTTTCATGGCACATAATGTAACTCAATTTTACTTCATTCAGCTATTTTATAGCGTTTTTGAAATATTTAGCCCATGGGCGAGAAAAGGTTTGGCCCATGGGCGAGAATATTTCCCTTTGCTCAAAACTCATGTTTTAGTGTCGCATATACATAAAGGTGTTCTTAGAAGTTTCATGTCACATAATTTAACAAATTTTAACTTAATTCAACTATTTTACGGCGTTATTGAAATATTTCGCTCTGGACGAGAAAGATTGGCCCATGGGCGAGAATATTTTCCTTTGCTCAACAGTTTTAGTTTCGCAAATACATAAAGGTGTGTCTACAAG